CGCCAACTCTGTTTGGGGACTGAAACCCTAGCCCACAGGATTGAGACCAAGTCATTCTCTTTGGGTTCCATGATTGGTACAAATTATAATCTGCCCACAAGCCTGAGGCAAATAGAAAGGAACAAGAGGACTGCGGGTAAGCCACGATTCCAAAGAACATTCAAAATCATCTTACCTGTCTTCCTGATGTTGGCCTTCTTGGGAGCTACAGGTGAAGGTGGAATGTTTGAATGTGAGTGTATGTGTATGAGCTTCAGTGTGGAAAAGTAGGATAAGCAGAGGGACAGGGCAGGAGGAACAAATATAAAGGGATAGAAAAGCAGGGAATACTTTTGGGAGCAGGCAAGGGTTATGCTTTCCTTCGGGTATATGCAAATGTTATGAATCAAATTAAAATGCAGGTGGGTCTAATCATTTTCTCAAACTATACATGACTAAACTAAATGGTACACTGGAAGAGAAATCCCACCTTATATAGGGTGCTGAGAGTTAAATACACATACATATTTGTACATCTGTTAAATGCTGACCCGTCATGGCAATAAGTAACATCGAAGCTCATTATTAAAATAGTGTTCAGAAGAGGTAATAATTGAGGCTACAGTCTGGCTTAACATTAGTTATGCACGAAGTAGTCATACATAAAGTGGACATTTACTTCTAGGAAGTCACCTTGAGATTATAGTGAAAAAAATTACCATTAAGAGGTCTTAGAAATATTCCTTAGCCTCTAATGTTATGCAGAGCTGCAGCCAATTGAGTATTTTAGGTGGATTCTAAAATGTAGGGATAACTTGCACTCATTTTGAGTCAAGAACATGCTTCTGATTTGCTTCCTACAATTACTGAAATATGATACAAAAGCATTCTTATTAGCATAAAGGATTCGTTAGAGATCTTCAAATAATCTATGAAACTTCTCAGCGCAGCCTTCTCTCGTAGGAAATGTTTGCACTGAGCAAATAAAATCTAAACTCATCCATACATATTCATGTGGTCTCTATTATTTCAGTAATCTTCAAGTTAGGGCAATCCATTGTTTTACCCAAAGTGAAATTCTATTACATTTCATATACTTTCTTTTCATGTTTTTTCCTTGATTTTTGTAGGCACTATGCACTCTTCAGTGGTAAGTAGGAAAAATGCATTATGCAGCCACTGGATTCTAGACATTAAACTGCTCAGGTTAATAGTGCTTCTTCATTAGTGGGAAGTGTGCTTCATGCCGATAGAACACCCGCAGCATCAAACGAAAAGAAAGCCCCTAAAAAGCTCAAGATGGTGGCAGGAACATGCACTATCTGGCAACCCTTTCAAATGGCTTCATTTGAAACGTTCAGAAAAGAGCTCGACTTGCTCACGAAGCCACAAACAGAGACCAATAGGCAGCAAATAAACAAGGACCCCTTTCTACCTACAGGAACTTGTATTGGGAGATACAAGATAGAGAGATCCAGTCATACGACAGTATTTGTATGGTCTGGGAGAGTTTAAAAAGGATATAAAATTAATTTATAAAATACCTAAAGTATGGTCCTTCAGTGTTTTTATTCACATCTTCTACCCACTTAGCTACATTATAGTCTCTTTTGAACCATGGATTTAAATACCTGCAGAAAGCAATGGAAGGAACAAAGAAAGCAGAACAAGGTAGAAAATCTGAAAACACACAGCACAAGCTTAGCAAGGATGTCTTTCACCCTCCAAATGCAAGTGACTCTGCAAATCAACCGAGATGGATGCTGGGAGGCTATGCAGCCGTTTGTTCAATGACATGAGAGTAATCTCAGCTACAACAAGGCTCGAGGCATTCTAGAGTGTAGTCAACATTTCAGGAAACGGTGGGGGGGGGGGGGCGCACAGGAAGTTCACTTTCAATCACAGCACTGTCAGCAGTCCCATCTACCCACCTCCAAAGTAGCCTTTCCCAGGCCATCTCTCAATTGGCCTGTTGGTTTTCAATCAATAATAGTGCTGTTAGAGAAAGGTCAGAGGGCTGCAATTCCAACCTGGTGCTTGGGACATAACATCCCATAAACAATGAAATAAAGAGTACAGATCTCATTCCCAGTATGAAACGAAGGCTGTTACGTGACCTCTATCGTACTCCCTGAAGGAGACCCCAAGATGGAGTTAGTAAGAAAGCATGCTCCTGCTGATTCTGTGGAGAGCAGAAAGGGACCCCCTCTTCTGATCCTGGAGCCCAACGCACATTAAGTGTGGTCCAAATAGGCTTCCGTGATCATGAAACTGGGTTTAATCATTTAGCTACAGTTGCAATGTTCCTGCCTCCTCTTTGTGCACTCCAGACTACAGTGCTCCCGTTTCCATTTGGGAATGGCTTTCCCAAGTCGCCCTCCAGGGGTCTGGACATAAGTGATGGCTAGAGGACTGGAATGACCTTCCTTTTTCCCTTTTTTTTTTCTCTTTTCAGGAATGAGCTTATTAGCATCTCCTTAATGGATGTGGAAGAGTCTGTATAGGAAAATATAAATGGTCATAAAATTTGGGGTACAAGTTTGTTTCTTTTCAGAGAGTTTCCTTTGACTTTTATGCTGGGAACCAAGCAGAATCACACCCTCTTAGAATGCCCCCCTGTAACATAATCTGGTTCTAATATCCTCAACACTGGAAGAATTTGGAGGGGCTGTCTCGTAAAGATAATAGTAAACAATGAAAATCTGACTTCTATAAATTTTGAAGTTGGAATGAGGAAAACTATCACATACACTACTTATTTTGGGTTAAAGTTTGCTTCTTTACCCCACATTCAGGTTTCAAGTAGTTTGTAAATCCATTTAAGTCAGAATTACATTTCCAGAGTTATATCTATTTTTAAAATCATTTACAAAAATATCCTTTCCCTCACTCTCCACCTCCTCAATTTTAACACTAACTAATGTCCTCCACGAAATAATGGCACAAAGTTCCCTCCTCGGGAAGGGTTTTGTTGCTTTCTGTACTTCGAAGACCATTTTTGTTAAAACACCATCTCCTGACTTAGGAACAATTCACATTAGTTTTTGCCTTTATGCCAAATCATTGCCAAGTTGTGCTTTTCACGGAAATAGTCAATTAAAACTTGCATCATGGTTTCCACCGGGACTGAACAAAAAAGTCCCAAAGTAAGAGCAGCCACAGATGGAGGCTGGTGTGGCCCAGGGAGTACCGAAGGAAAGCTCATGCAGCTGTCACCAGGTGAGACATAGCCACACAGCCAACTGAGTCACCCACAGGCAGATGGCCACTTGTCCCTTTCACTGATGATCTAAGACGCACAAAGGACCAGTGTTGCAGCTGCCCTGTGAAGCCCACGCTGCATGGCTTGACTTGCACCCAGGATTTTCCTGTTTCAGGGAGCTATTTCGTCAAGCTGCTAACCATGCAGGGAGCTCTTAAATGGCTGCTCCTTCTGGCGATCTGTCAGTGAAAATGTATTCACAGTGGGTTCCTACCATCTTAAGTGGCTAGAGCGATGGGTGCATCATACTACTCTAAACCTGCCTGTGTGGCTTGACTTGGCTTGTAGCGCAACATGCATACAAAGGCGTCTGACGGGGGGAGGGGCAGCTCTTTGTGTTCTCTTCGATGGAAAGGCGGAGGAAGAATAGCTGGTGCTGGCTGGACCAGGAGCACCTCTGAGCTGACACAGACTTAGTCAGAGATCAAATGGCCCTGTTTTCAGCCAAGGCAGGGACTTGGGGGGAAATTAAGTGGCAGCCCAGAATGAAGGGGCAGGTGGAGACTGACCTGTGATCCAGACTCCCTGTTTGGGGACTGTCAGAGCCCCCTGGGCTTATGCCTTGGGATGGGACTGTCTGGGCGAGGGAGTGCCCAGGCTCAGGTGCTTGGGGCTCCCTCCTGCAAAAACACAATATATAATACAAAGTCTGAGCCAATTTTGTTTTTTAAAAACATTTTGTACAACAATGAGGACGATACAAAAGCTTTGAGTGGAAAAACAATACAGTACACAAAGGACATCTTATTTAGTTAATTAGCCGAGTATGCATTTGTGCTGTATGTCTTAATTCGCATGCCTGCTTTTCATCATCCTTTGGGATGATGAGATAGTAACAGGACTGTTGTAATAATGGATTTGACATTTCATCTAAGAAATGGGGGGGGGGTATGTTTGTTTATGGTCCTCTCAGAGTGACACAAACTATATCATTACATCAGAAACAAATGGGGTTATATGGACAGTAAAAAAGTGAACATAATTCTTGATAATGATGTATTAGGAATCATAATAAGAATATAGAGGGAGAAAGTTCCCATACAATTCATGTGAGAACAGTGGTTCAATTTACAAACTTGACTCCATTCAATTAGCGGTGGGTCATCTAGCCCATCTCAGGGAGTCTGAAACCTCTGAGTGTATCCTTGTGATAGGTCGGTTTATTGTGCCAGCCTGGTCAATGAACACGTGGGATTAATCGAAGGTCAGAGAGATAAATGGCCCAGCGATACTTTCCTTTCTGGTTTCTTGCTCTTTGATGATCAGACCGGTGTGTGGCTGCCTTAGCTGGTTCTCTGCCTCAACTTGTGAGCTACACTATCTGTGGGACACCCAGCCCATGGACTGTGTCACTGTAGTTTGAGGTTCCTTCAAGACCTGCTTCTCCACGCTACTGGTGTATACATCTTTGAGCTGGGAACTGTCGGACCCTGTCATCTGGCTGACTGTTGGTGACCTGCCTTTAGTTTTGCTGCCTATGGCCAGATTGCCAGAATTACTCTACAGAGACTCAGCTGTCTACTTCCTTGACTTGCACCCAGTGGCCCTCAAGACTTGAAGGATTGCCAGTGTATTAGCTGTTTCATAGAAGTGAATTGCACTAAGCCATTTGTACAGCTTTATAGACTAATTAGGTATTTATTTCTTATGTTATATATCTATATACATATATATAAAATCATAAGTGTCCCTAATTAGGTATTTATTTCTTATGTTATATATCTATATACATATATATAAAATCATAAGTGTCCTGGTTTTATTTCTCTAGCGAACCATGTCTAACATAATCCTTCACAGGTTTCCCTCACAAAATGATGCCATCGGATGTCTTATTAAATATAATAACTGGATTACCTTATAGGAAATATTGTATAAGGACTCAAATCACTTTTAATCACGTGATATGAGTAAGGATTGTAACCAAAATTTCAAAATATAAGTGATCACTCTTGAAAACAATTATGTGACTCTTACTAAACACAGTCTTCTTTGGGTCCTCAACTAAGAGCCTAACATAATGTTGAACTTTCTATCCTTTTCACTTAGCAGTTTTTAAAGCCTTGCTATAGGAAATCCTGTTAGGAAACGGGAATGTACACAAAGGAAGTTCTAAAGAACATTTTGCAGTTTTATCTGTTCTCTTGTGAGCAGCCGAGATAAGCTAAAGGAGCCCTTACGAAGTGACCCCATGCAAAACAAAGAGAGAAACATTCCAAGAAGAGTTTATCAGTAATGAGCCCCAGAGCATCCAAGCACTTTGGGAATGTATAAGATAAACTCGAACAGATTAGTTATATATGATGAAGTTTTATGATGCCATTCTGGACCATGCAATCGTATCACTTAAAATTATCTATTGTTCTAAGGTAAAGTATCCTCTAGTAAACTTTGACAAGCCACTTACAAGACAATACCATTCAGCTGGAAGGTCCAAATTTCAGGGCAATGTTATTATTCCTGGCCTGAAAAAGGCAGGGTATGTGATGGAAATGCTAACATAGGTTTCTGGCAAGCAGTTAACAAATACCTGCTATTTGAATATTTCAAGTAGTAAGGCATGAAGAAGCAACAGAGATCCTGGGAATAATAACTCCCACCATGGTGACAGATAATTAAATTTCTTTTAGATGGATCAAAAAATACAGGAAATTAAAATCAATCAGGTGGCAAGGTCAGTCCAGAAGGATACTAAGGGTGTGTTTTGTTCGATGCAAAGAGATGAAGCTTTGTTATGCTCGTACTTTCTTAAGTGGAGAAAGAAACAAAAAAAAGTGCATGGTGATTACTTCATTACAAACTACTTCAAATGTAACTTCTGACCCCTGACCCCCCCCAAAAAAAACATGTGCTGACATTGAAAACGCTTGTGTTGTAGTTAGTGACAATGGTTCGGTTAAGTTTAGGTAAATGCCCTCTTGTCTTCAGAAGGAAAGTTGAAAAGTGAACGCTGTTTGATTAGTCTGAGAGAATGCTTAGATTGCAGCCATGAAGACCTCTGAGTGGAGGAGTCAGATCGTGAGCAGTTTCATGCTCTAATACAATGGGAATTTTCCCCCCAATGCTTCCAGGCTGAGTGAGTATTAGGGAGAGGAAGGGTGACCCTTCTGGAATGGCTGGACCCCAGGAGATGAGAAGAGGAATGTTATCAAAATTCCCTTCAGACACAGAACCAAGAAGACACCACAATGGCAGGTTACTGGAGGAAAAAGCCTGTAGCGAAGGTGAGCCCCCCACTATCAGTGCATATTGGTTTGGGCACAGTTGCGGAGATGCCTAAGTAAAAGAGAAAAGTCATGGTTAATTTTAAAAGAGCAAAAGGGAATCGAAAAGACACAACCAAGACCAGAGGCTTGGCTTATGGCTCTTGGACTATCTGGTCAAATAACTATTCAAAGGAAGTAACTGCATGTGACGGTGGACTGCCTATTACCACTAGAGCTTCAGACTTACTCAGTTGAGTTAGACCGAGGTCTAAATCGTTTCCCTCTGATTTTCTTTCTGTTGCCTCCCAGGTTACCTGGAAAAAAAAAAGGTTTATAGCTAGCTTTTCATATAAATAAATGATAGTCACTAGTCTAATTATGTAGGATTCCAAGTGCATGTGATTGACAACTAGGACCACCCTAAAATATGAGGATGTGTGGCACTGTGCCACCTTCTCAAAGTGTCTAGATCACCGAGGCTACTGAATCCCATCAATTCCCATGCACACAAAAAAAGAACTGGACTCTCAATCTAGGTATTATTCTCTCGTTGCAAAGAAGGGTTAATAAAGAACTTGTAGGAAAGAACAGCATGTTTACAACCAGGGATCACAGAACACAAATCTTGGGTTATGTGGACAGGGGGATTCTGAATGCTAGCTTCTACCTTGCCAAGAATTACTCCGAGGTCGTCCATTTTCACAGATGTCTGAAATATGTTTTGTGTCTGGAATTCTTTCACTCCAAGAGTGAGAGAGTCCGTTCGATCTGAAATTAAAATTGTTATAAATTGTTCAAAATGTATTCAAATTAATGTTTTTAAATCAGTAAGCAAAATTTCTATGCATTACTGTGCATTAAAGTAAAATTTTAAAAATCTGAAATGAAAGAATGAAGAGAACATGAAAGTCTTCATGAAGAAGGCAAAGTTACACAACATTCAATTTAAGAAAAGTCAAATACAATGGAACCCCATTACAATAGATTGTCATCGAAAAGAATCAGGTAACAATGTAGCCAATTCATATTCTCCAGAACACAACACCCACATATAGCAGATTCAGCATAGACTTAGGTTAAAAACCCCAGAAACAGAGTTATAATGGGGTCCCACCATAGATGTTTCTTAATTGTAAAGCAATGGTTTACATTCAAATATTATGAGAACATGGACTTCCTTGAGATTTGATTACGATTTGCCAAACTAAACCAAGTTAGTCTTTATGAAAGTACTGTTTTGTTTTTTTTTAAAAAATTATGAAATCACTAAGAATTGGTATTTTTACCATAAGTATGGTCCAAACAACTGGAGTATATTGGTTTTCCAATAACTAAACTGTATCGTGGAAGTCTTTCTCACAAAGCCCATGTACCATTAAGCCTTTCTACTATTGGTCCCGCTATCTTTAAAGGCAGTCTATGAGAAACAAATGTTACACACCTACCTGAACCACACATAAAAAGTATTTATAACAAAAGATTTTTTTACTCTTTTTAACTGCTTAAAAATCACAGCCCATGAGATTTTGCTAAAATCTGGGAATTTCATATGCTCTTTTAGTACTTTAGAAAATAGCATGATTCTTAAAATGTTAGCTACATATCAGTCTAGTTCAGTGGTTGTCAACTTTCCTAATGCTGTGACCCTTTCATACAGTTCCCCCATTTGTAGTGACCCCCCAACCATAAAATGATTTTCATTGCTACTTCATCACTGTCATTTTGCTACTGTTATGAATCGGCTGACCCCTGTGAAAGGGCCGTTCGACCCCCAAAGGGGTCCCACAGGTTGAGAACCGCTGTTCTAGTTAATAGCTAAAAATATATTTTTCAAAGAAACATTTCACTGATGAATGAAAATAAATGGCACTCAGTAAAATGACTTATAATCAATTTAAAATATTAATTTCTTAGGTTGGGACTTTTTCCAACATGGTTTGCTAATTATACAAGAATTCCTATTTTATACAAGGATACCCATTGCTTTCCCTATATGTTTATCACATTATCTAATTTGAAATTAAATCTTTGATCAAAAACATATAATACAACTTTAAATTACTTCTCTAATTTTCTCTAATTACTTCTCTAATCTTCATTCTCTTAGCAAAAAAAATCCTAATTAACTAAAAGAATAAAGTTTTGTTTTCTGGATATCTGTCTCCCTCGCTACCAACGAGTTGATGCCGACTCATTGTAACACTATAGGACAGTGTAGAACTGCCCCTGTGGGTTTCTGAGACTGTAATTAAAAAAAAATTATTTTATTGGGGGCTCTTACAGATATTATAACAATGCATAAATCAATTATGTCAAGCAAACTTGTACATATATTGCCATCATCATTTTCAAAGCATTATCTTTCTGCTTGAGCCCTTTGATATCAGCTCCTCCTTTTCCCCTCCCTCCGACTGTATCCCTTTACGAGCAGAGAAGCCTCATCCTTCTCCCGTGGAACCCGGGTGATTTCAAACTGCTGACCTTGTGGTTAGGAGCCCAATGCATAACCACTACCCCACCAGAGCTCAGCATATATCTGTAGTCCTTGGAAACAAATTAATACTCCTACGAAACCTTTATTATCCAAGGGAAAACAATACTTCATGTTTATAATAATTCTGTACAAAAATGTTCCCAGATTTCACAAATTCCTTTAATTTTCCTTCCTGATTAATGCTTAAATGTACAGAGTGAGATCTACTGCAAGTTTTTACAGATGATTCACTCTACGTAGACTTCCGTAACAGCTAATGTTTTCTCTCAACAAACTAGCAATTTCCTCTCCAATCTGCAAAGTATTTAATAGTAACCAGAGAAATCCATCATGCTACCAATTTTTAAAATGCTTTGCACCCCTATTATCAACTTTAAATGCAAGCAAACAAAAATCCTCTTGCACAGGAATATTTTAGCTCCCTTCAAGGTCAATGTAGGTCTCCTCTTCTATAACACTTCAACTACTTACTTCTATTAGTTTATATTCCTAGGCAATAATAAAACATGCAGAATTTTAAGTAGTTTTATAAACCTTATGATCCTGGAGTAAACATATAGCATCAAATTTTAAACACATATAAATATTCACCTTTCCGTACTACTATAAAACTCAAGGCAAATACTAGACATACTCCGTTTTGCTATAATTATAAAGTCTAGAAGGAATAAAAGGCAAAATCATAATATTCAAGTAATTCATTCACAGAGAAGCAATCTTTGTTTCACAGCGAGCTTAGCTTTGCTATACTCTATTTAAAATAATTCAACACAGCATTTATATCACCACTTTATATTTATAGCTGCTTTTACTGAAGCATGACAGTAACCTTTTTCTTTGACTACCAAACATGACATAAAGCTCACCATTGAAAATATTATGGCATACTATGCATATTCTCTTAAGCCATTGTAAGATTAGGACTAAAACACCCTGGGTTTGGACAGAGATTTAGGTCTGTTGTTTGTTTTGCTTTTATTTGGCGGCCTGACTTGTAGAACAAGTGGCTCTGAGCATATGGCATTTTGAAGCAGAGTAATCAAAGAACAAAGGATACTATTCGTTAACATTCAAGAAAGAAGGAAGAAGTAATCAAACCTGCTGCAAAATAATGAAATGTTCTGACTAATGGAATAATGTGTGATGGAACAGGTAGAAATCTGAAAATGCGACAGAAAAGCAGACCTCTTCTTAGAGCTAGATGCTGAGTTTGTGCTGACTCCAGGAGGGATGTCGCTATAAAAAGAGTCGCCATCTCCAGGCTTTTTTACATAATCTCCCTGGGGTAACTGTCTAAGGCATAATAAACATTTCAGAGTCAGAAAAACACGACACACACATGAACACAGACATATACAAATATTATTTCAGGAGAAAAAAGGAGGTAGGGGTAATGATCTACATGAATCAAATCTATAACAACACATAAGATTATTAATACATGTGACAAGTCAAAGTCATTCTAACTGCAGAGGTCAGAAAGGCAATCATGGAAGTCTTACAGAGTGGATGAGGAGAACTTTATTGAGGGAGGAAAACATGGAAAGATGAGTCTTTTTACTGCAACTTCATTATGCTTAGAGATGTTCACTGCAGTTTTGTTTTGTGGTTTTTTCCTTTCTACATTGGTGCTGAAGGAAAGGGGCCAGGAGAGAAAGGCCTTGCTCAGATAAAGCATTTCCCACCTTCAACCCCACCAGTGAACCAACTATTCAGAATTTCTAAGCAGGACATAATGATACCTTCATCTGCTCTTAAAAGTCTGGATTAATTTCTACCCATATTCAATAAATTTAGTCCAAATAAGTCTTTCTAAGAGTTCTGAGTTCATTCTGGAGTTTTATTGTACAGTTAATAGGAATATGAAGAAATTGAAATAGATTCACAGGTGAACCAAACAGGAAATTCTAAAACTGAACAGAGGAGTATGTGAAGGAAGATAATTTAGTAAAAGGCATGAAAGAGTCGGAAAAATAACTGAGTTCTTGTTGAAACCATAAAGGGTGTTTATAGACAGTCGGTAGGAGACTTCAGTTTTGTTTCTCCAGGGCAGTTCTGAGTGCAAAAAGGCAACATCTATTTAGACGGTCCTACTGGACAGGGTCGCCGTCTTGAAGGAGACAATCTGACCATTAGCCAAAGCCCAGGTCCCAAACAGCCGCACGTTTCCAAAACTCTAGTCCAGTCGGTACTTTTGTTGGAGGTACATAAACAAGTGCAGAATTGAGAATTTTAAGTAGATTCTGCACTTAAACGGCTCCGACAAAAGCACACGTTCATGAACTCCTTTCCCACTGGGCTTTTCCTGATTTCTTGTGCTAATCTTGGTTACTGGTTGATGCTAAATTCTATCCAAAAATACCATTTTGAGATATTCCTTTGTCTCCTCCGCCCCCAATATTATTATAAATGTTTATAATCCTTGGCCATTTCTTCTTTGAATGATTAAATACTCCTATTATTTTAATGCTACATTATCCTACATCTCTAGAACTCTGGAGAGAAATGTTTTCAATTGATATAAAAGCACATATTTAAGTCTACTCCTCTATTTCCAGTATTCCATATCTACTAATTTTGACCATAATTCTTTTGTATATCGTCCTTCAAAACATTTTAAAGTCCTTCGACTTCAGTTTATAATGTCTGTCCTTTGATAATATAAAATACAAGCTCTAAAGGAAAAATAAAGCACCTCTCATATTGATAGGTGTTAATACATTAAAAAATCCCCACAATTCACTGCCCTCCAGTCCATTTCGACTCATAGTGACCCATATAGGACAGAGTGGACTGTCCCTTTGGGTCTCTGAGGCTGTGCAGCATTCTCTGAAGCCTACAGCAACTACCATGCCAAACAGTCTGACCTAATTTATAATGGGAAAACTAGGGCATATTTTCCACATGGTGGATACAGACATATTAAACATGTGCATGCTTTCTTTTGAAACAATGACAAGAATGGAGGGGGTTGGGAGAGGCTACTGCTTATCGTACTTAGCTAAGTAATTTTTTATCAAAAAAGGACCTCTTCCTACATTAACTAAAGGGTATCCGTATACACTCTTCCACACAGAACCTTGAATTGGTATTTCACCTTGTGTTTTGAATTGCTACATCCCACTTAATCACATGTGTTTGAAGGTATTTCCTGGCTCTAAGGCAAGGACAAGCCCCTGTGACTTAATGACTCAGGAAGAGTGGGTTCGGTCCTCAGTCTGTAGAACCTATGCCCAGTGATGGCTTGCCTTTATTCTACTTCAGTCCAACTCTTATAGTGTTCATAATTATAAATCATAAATCATCTAGTTGTTTCCATTCTAAATTTAAAGGGAATGTTTCTTAGATTTTCTCCAAAGCCATTGGAGAATCTCATGGACTCTTAGGAGATCATTCCCCAAAGAGTCCCATTGAATATAAGGATCAATTGAATCCTCAGAATTAGGAGAAATGAAAAACAAAAATATTTAATCAACTCTAACATAATGTTGAAGGACTCTCTCCTGCTTGTTTGGTATGTGGGAAGTCTCTTAATGGAACGGTCAGTTTACGGGTTTTAAGGAATAGTGCATAGTGTGTACCAAGCCACACTGACAGAGATGTGAAAATCACAGAAATAACAATCATATAGAAACAAACTACAAAAGGTCTGAGAAAAGGTGGCAAGCTCACAAGAAGAATGTGCAGTGGCCAAAACAGGTTAAAGAGAAAAGAAATGGGCAGAGGTAAGTTTCTGCTTAAGGTTAAAAGCATGGATCAAGAAGATATGACTTAACTATTTGTATTTCTCATTAATTATAATGACTTGTATCTATTTCATTCAAAGAAAGATGATACAATTGCAAATGAATATAGATGTTTTATGTATCCAAATTCAATTAGTTTGCTATTCCATTGCTATTTTGCAAGCCCATCTGAAAATTTAAAACTCAAACTTATAATCCCATTTACAAAGCATACAGCTGCTAAATCCTACAGCAAGTATGCTGTAACATTTTTTAAAAATCAACAGAAAAAAAAGTGAAGGTGCTGAAGAGAAGGCTAACTCATCATCCCTTCACTGCAAAACGTCTAAGGTCTCCTCCTGGCTCCTTGGTCCCATGGTTTTCGCCGTCACGGGAAGGTACTGGCAAATGTATGGGGATATTGTTCAGCTCTGCTGCTTCCGCTGTGCCCAAGGCTGTTATTTTTCATTAAGTGGTTTTTGAAAACAAAAAGAAAGTGAGCTTGCTTCTCATTAATTTTTTTGTCAGACTTTCTATTAAGCAAATGACATTCTTCAAAAAAAGGAAAACGAGTTTACATTCTCAAGAGAAAAAAGTATCAGGTTATTACATTAATCCTACAATTCAAAAATAATGCCCAAATTGGCATCTCTATGCCATTGCATCACTAATAAAGATGCCATCTTTTCATATTTAATATGGCTCTACATCTCACGTCGAAGTCAAACTGTACGCTCACCAACTTTCAGCAGCTCAACCAGCTTCCGTGTGGGTTCCATTCTTTTAGAACAACCATATCCACCTCTTTCTCTGAATGTCAGACAAACACAGAGTTCGCCAAGGACCACATATTAATAACTTCCTTATTTTTTCTGAGTTAGACCTAAGGAAAATTCTCAAGATCACATCCTAGCATATGGGTTCCTTAATTGGCCCTTCCCTTAAGGAATAACCAATGAAAAACTAATTTAAAGGCAATAGCGAGTCAAAATGCTTACATCTATTCTCTGTCATGCCCAGGAGCTGGGCATGTTTTAATTTCCTATCTGTAGATATTTTCACAAGGTTGCAAACTCCTGAATGCTTGCTTGAATCCGTTGACTTCCTACCTTCTCTATCATCACAAAGATGTATCCTCAAATGGAGATCATATTTACTTCAGAATCTTAACATTTCCATGACTTTCTAATTTAATTTCTTTTTTCCCCCTACGTCCTTCTGTTTGGAGAACCATGATGCAATGCAAATATTCACAAGGCATGGCAAAGAGGGAAAAGTCCTGCTGATATACTACATCAAATATCTGCTGGGGATATGCCGCCTCTCAAAATGTGAACCAGATGCAAAAGGAGTTTGGATTGGAACTTATGAGTTAATGATTCCAAAGGCAGAAAGTTGAAGGGCAACAGAAAGGAGACTGTGGGTATGAATGTTTTCTTCCCTGTACCTATGCATATATTGAGTTAGAAAGAGACAGTGGCACCCTTTTTGGGTATAATTTGGGCAAATGTCCTATTTGCGTAGTTTCTCACTGCCTTAACTTTGTGTATGTTACACATTCGAAACATTTTACATCCTATTAAATTCTTAAATCACTTAGCTATATTAAATTATATTATATCTTTCCCTGTTATGAGAAATATAGCTGAATCATCCATTTGTGACTATCTTATTGGTCTAATTTTATTTCCTACTGAAGAAAGTTACCAACCTTAGGTTTCTGCTATGACTAACCAACTCCTTCCCAGCAGAAAGTCTATGTGGCACCTGCTGCTTTTTAGTGCTTTTTGACAGAAGAGTTTAAAACTCTAGAAAAAAATTAAATGTAATCTATTGTCTCAGATGTACTTTTTTCATAAATAATGAATTTGTTTCTCCAGGGCAGGGCAATATTTTTTAATATCTACCAGGCTCTAAATGTGCTGTGGGAGCCTTTATTTTATACAGACCCTATCGATATTTATGGTTAAAATGTTACAGGGATTTTAAATTACAAGGTGAAAGAAGATACAACAGTAAAGTTTGATTTCTCCATTTGTGAAACTGTGAAAATTGAGATTGAGGCCCAGAAAAGCAACACCCCACTGATTACACTTTATCTTAATCTGTCACAGGCATTTAATGGAACAAAGGGGAAAGCTATGGAAACAGAAATCTACATAAATATCTTGGGTGTTAATACTCCACACTTCTTCTTAAATGCTGCCCGTTAAATAGATTACGCTGAATGGGATGTCTGGCTTTTTCCATGGGCTTTTTTATTTTTAAAATGTGCACCAGATAATCAAAGATTCAACTGTGTAAATTTTTTGGCTGGCTGTATAAGTGTTTATTCTATAAAAACATTTTCCCATGCAAAGATAAAATAAGCTCACCAGATACTAGGACATTCCCCTGAAGGCAACACTGTGCCCAAATAAGCTTTACTGCTTACACGTGGGAGTTACTGATATCAAAAACAGCAAAAAAAAAACATACATTTTCTTAGAAAGTATGAGGCAGTAAGAGTGTCATTATAAACATAAGGAAAGTCAGTAACCTCCCAGTGGTGCCCAAGATGTGACATCTTAATGTCGAAGTTTGCTTAGTTGGGAAAAAGGTTAATATCCACATATATGTTACTCTGAAAACAACATAAATTAGAATCTCCACTGATTGTAATATCGTTGGATAAAAGACCTCAAATTTTTAAGATTAAACAGATCAACTTCAAATAAATGTATTTTATAGTACCATTGTTTAAATTATTCAAGATCATGGGAATCCACGATTAGCATATGATAATTGTAGCCTAAAAAACAAGTGAATTCAATTTATGTATATATTCCAAAGATGTTATCAGGATTTAAACTTTTGAGTTACGGGTTCTGATTATTCTCATCACATACCTCTGTTCTCGATAGTTTCTATTCATTGACAAGAAGAGAGAGAGAAACAGAAATAAAAGTTAGTTACTCATGGACATGTATTGGGAGAGAGTACTAAACAAATATATATAGCTCTAGCATTCATCGAAGGATCGACACTAGAAGATATTGAGTAGATTTAAATTTTCACTGTTATTAGAAGAAGTGGTACTAAACATTTAGTGATCAAACCATTGTCTATTTTTAAACACATGGATAAGTGCAATTGCTAAAGAGTAAAATGTTTTTACAACATAAGTTGTATTAAATATTTAGTATGCTCTAAAGTCAATCATGTTTGAAACATGGGTTTTCAGACATTAGTTGTAAATAATGGAATAAATGAAGCAAGTTACTTAGGTAAAGTAACTGTTATTTTTATAGAAGTAAAATCATGATCGATTCCTTTTGGAATGTATACTCCAAACTCTATCTAACCCTAAGCATTTCAAAGAGGAGACAATAAGTTGACACCAATCAAAACCAAACCCCCTGACTTCAAGTCCATTCTGGCTCATAGCAACCCTACAGGACAACCTCTGGCTGTCCAAGGCTGTCAGTCTTCATGGAAGCAGCCTGCTCATCTTTCTCCCCCAAGTGGCTGGTGAGTTCAAACTGCCAGCCTTTCCATTAGCAGCCCAATACTTAAACCCACTAAGCCACCAGGCCACCTAAATTGATGCCAGAATACATTAGTTCATCATGTATGATAAATATAGGTTAGTGCATGGCTGTTATGGGCCTCCTAAATTAATGCTGCTAGTCACTGAAGCTTCACAGAGGGAATGCATTATTCACAGCTAAATCTCAGTTTAAAATTTGGTAACATATTAAAATACATGAGCTCCTTTATAAAAGTCTCTCAAAGAAAAGTTGGTCATCATGTACCAGACTGTTTTCATCTACCATGACAGAAATCAGTAACATTTTCAAGCCATGTTAGGAAGATGAAGAAACTGAGTAATCTGGGGCTCTGTCCTCTAAGACCAAGGATAATGTTTCCATATGATTTTCATCTGTACCACTTTCACCTGCCAATTTAGTCCATCCACACTGTTTAAGTCTGATGTTCAATAATGGTGATGAGGAATAAAAATGCCAATTCGTTGCTTTTTATTTCTCATTCCTGAAAGCATCAGAAAGGGCAAAAAATAAGCCTGGAAATTTTCTGTTAAACATATTTTACTGGTTATTGCTTCAATCTGATTACCTTAAGTTATGTTTACATGACTATTACCAATTTCACATGACTATTCCTCATTTCCTATTCCCCATGCCAAAGCTTGGAGGAGGGATGAGGGTGTGTATTTTGAATGGACTAATCAAAAATATGATTTTAGGTCTTAAACTCATTTTTGCATTTCAGATAAGACTGTGTGAAACACCATACTCATGGATTATAATTCCCATACTAAAATTTCCCCACCCTCTTTCTATTTTAAAAAATATAAATTAATCATTTCAGAAATATTAAAGCTTTCACCATTTGAGTTCAAATTATTATTAAGAAAATATTGCAATATGACCAAGATCTGCCTCTTAATTTGCAAAGCATACATATTCAGACATGAAAAAGCAAAACCTCAAAAGAATCATCGTAAGAAATAAACAATCATTTACAGCAGGAAATACTCCCAACTGCAATTTTTAAAATGGACAAGGGACTGTCAGGGGTAACAGGAGGAGTATCTAGATTTCATGTTTTCTGATAAGTGTTTCCAAGATTGTAAAGCTGAAATATCCACTTTGATCTCCAGGTGGCAGCAAATTGCCCACTGCGAAAGCTAACCAAGTCCTCCGTTTTCTTGTGACCGAATGCTGCCCCTTAGTTACTCCCACACAGCCAGGCTTGTGGTCGCATTACTACATACATCTTGCATTTGGAAAGTTGAGGAAATAATGTGACTCCCCAAAGAAGGCTAACTTCCCTGAGGCCTAAGGACTGATCAAAGAAAAAATCCATTAAAAAGCGGACTAAATTTTATTATTTCTGTGTTATGCTGAAATCAGATTGTACAGATATAAAACACTGTATCCCTCATGATCTATTAACAAAGAACCTACAGATCAAGAGCTGAATAGATGGATGAACTAAGACAGTGCTCATTTAATCAGGATAAAATAGCGATCTGCTGTGCTCAGCTTCAACATACAAGGTGCTGTTAACCATGTCATGTATGCTAACTTTTGCTCTACTGACTGTGCTATTTCATATGTCCTTCCACCAGTGTCTTTCTGTATTTTAATGGCATGTAAAGATTATCCTAGTATTAACTAACTGCTATCCATGTTATGTCAAAGGCAACTCTTTCGGAGTTTCACCTCACACCAAGCAATTGTCATATACTTTTAAAGTTGTTTCCTTTGATTCAATTGGTTTAAAACCAGGTCAGGTAATAAATGGGAAATAAGTATGCTATAAACTGAACTGCGGCCTTCCAAAATATGTGTCAACTTGGCAAGATCACGATCCTTAGCATTATGTAATTACCTTCCATTTTTGTGGTCTGGTGTAATTTTCCTACGATTTTAATTCCTAACCATTAAGATGTTAATGAGGCAGGATATGAAGCTGTTGTGTTCATGAGGAAGGAAACATTCTGCATGATTAGAATGAATCTTGAGCCAATCTCCTCTGAGACATAGAACAGATTAAACAAACCAGCAGAGATCAGAGGGGCCTCCAACAGCCAAGAAAAGAAAGAGTGGAGTATTCTTCAGACCTGGGGTCCCTGTGTTGGGAGCCTCCTAGACCTAGGGAAAGACTGACATCAAGACGCATGGAGATTTCCAAAGGATGCCAACTCCACAGATTTTGAAAGGAGACAAAGGCCTTTCCCTAGAGCCCAAAGAGAGAGAAACCTCCTAGAACTGGCCCCTCGAATGTAGACATGTAGAGTCTCAAACTGTGAGAGAATAAATTTAGGTTTGTTAAAGTCATGTACTTGTGGTATTTTTGTTATAACCAAATTAATTAATTAAGGCAATGTACATAGAATGATCTGTGGGCCAGGAATTATTCAGAGATTTTACACAACTTAATTCACAGAAAAATGACAAGTTTTGAAAGCTTGAGATAATTTTATTTAAGTCTAAAATTTACTAATCCCAAAATCTCTTCATGATCTAAATAAGACCACGAAGGGAAACAAGCTAAAAATGGAGTAATGCCCATATGCCCAGCAAAATTTGCAAGTTCAAACAGAGGAAATCTCTGGGCCTGGGGATTAAAACATCATCATCGAAGGTAAGTATAGTTGTGAGTTTAAATTATTAAAGGTGATCCAAGGTTTTACCACTTGCTCATTTGTATGTATTACATTTAAATCAGCTATCAGAATATGAAGGGCTATTTATATCATAACATTGAAGTACATCAAAAGAAAATTGTTACAGAAAAATCTAACACAACAAACACATAAATGAGTGTCAAGTACTTGAAAGTACTTATTTAGTAAATCTTTAAGAGGATCAAATACTATTCAAAGTTCCCAAAAGCTGATTTATAACTTCTTAAAATGCACAGTTACAAGCCCAAAATATTACAAGTTGAACTTTGAAGCTAAGGAAGAGTTTTAGGTCTTGCCATTTTAAATCCAATTTTGATTTTAGCAAACAGACAAACCTCTGAACAGTATTTTCACCACACAAAAACATCCCATATTTAACAAATCACAGAGCTTCCATTACAGTGGTTGAGAAGGAAAGAGGCTTTGCCCTTAGAACACTGTGCAGAGTGAAAACATTTCAGAGAAGCTACGACTGTTGTCACTGCACTGCTCTCAAAGCCCCATGTTCTCTGAATGACCGTCTCGCCTAGACTTCCGGAGATGGGTATAAGTCAAAAGATGCTGTGTCCTTAAGGGAAAACCCAAGCAGCCTTGTACAACGTAAGATCCGCGTTAATTTTAGTTCACTAGTGATCTTAGAGCCATATTCAGTACCTGTAGAATAGATAGCAGTTGTCTCACAACCTACGATAATGTATTTTAACTCCAACGTCTAACCATGCCAAGCAGTCATTTGACTGAATGTTGAGCTAAGACACTTTTTCTTGGCAAATGTATTTATGCAATGATGCAAAACTTTCTATACCTTTTCATTCAACCGAAATGTGTTAAAGTGCATTTTGACAGTAGCAATATAGAGATGCTTCACTTACTTATAACCCCATGCAGTGATTCCTAAGATGAGGGCCAGCACTAAAATGGTGCCGGCAATTATGCCTATTATGATATTGGTACCAGCAACACCTGTGGGAAGAACGATGAAAAGCAGTTACATACATGAAATTCTAACATAAAACTCTTTCAAAAGTTTTATTCTTCAGATGTGAAATCACTACACAAACTTCATTATTTTTATACAAAAGTTGAACTATAACTTAGCTTCCATTGTAAATTTGTTGAAAATTTCTTTATGTATGTTCCTTTAAAAATTCTTGTCCAAGTACATTTTTACATCATTACAATTCCCAATGAGGTTACTGAATTAAAAAGGAAAAAAAAGGAGAGTGAAGGAAAAATGGGCCCTATATTATGATATTGGTAGAGCATCTTTGGGGAAGGTTTAGAAAGCCAAGCCTCTTGTGACTCTGACTCCTTCCTCAGAAATCCTAGAAGTGTTATTGGGGTACTTTTTGTTGTTGTTGCTTTCAATAATTTAATTCTATGCATCAATTGTATCAACATTCCATACATCAATTATATCCATACATCAATTGCATCAAGCACAGTTATACACATGTTGCCATCATTATTTTTTAAACATTTACTTTCTATTTGCGCCCTTGGTGTCACCTCCTCTTTTTCCCCTCCCTGCCTCCTTTCCACCCTCATGACCCCTTGATAAATTATTGTTATTTCCATATCTTACACTGACTGTTGTCTCACCTTCATCCACGTTTTTGGGGGGAAAGAAGTGTTATTGTTTAAATCACTCCATTGTAATAACTATGCGTGGTCCTGTATTGTTTCTTGGTTTGTGTATGTGTATGTATATATTAGAGTCTCTCAAAGTAAATAAAAACTCCTTAAAGAACAAAACGCAATGTCTTCACGTCAATTCTGACTCATAGCGACCCAACATACGGTTTCTGAGGCTATAAATCTTCCCAGGAGAGATAGCACCATCTTTACAGGAGAGATAGCACTCTTGAGGGGTGGCTGGGGTTTGAACCACCAATCTTGTGGACAGCAGTCCAATCCTTACCCAGCAGCTCCTTAAGGAAGAAAACATGCCTATAATTTATACTATCAACACTTAGGTGGTGTAGATTTCTAAAGCACTGGGTGTACAGTTTCTAGTCTGATACCACAACGATACTGTGGTATCCTAGAGAAAGAAAACTAGAACTAACGTTTGGTGACAGTGTAGCATGTAGGCAAGGCTGCACTGGACCAGCAGAGAGCCAGGGCATCAGAAGGTAGGGCAGGACTGAAGTTCTGGACTGGTAAGTGGCAGGGCAGAGCCAGCATCTGTTGTTAGAGCTGAAACAGAATCCTTAAGAGGCTCGTGACAGTAAGAATCGCCTTGTCAGGTGAAGGCTTGGTCAGCAAGGTCAAAGTGAGGCCCAAAAGCAAAAAAGGAAGATTTGAGAACAAGTCCTGATCCCAGGATGTCTGATTTGCTGATAATAATTTGGGCAACATGTTTAATTGCAGTGCTTTCATCCAGAGCTGCTCAAATCTCTCCTTGCCGGCTTAATACCTAAGGCATCCTTCTATCCACCTAAAATCAGCGATCCTGTATGAGCGCAGGCAGTTCTGCGATCTCCGTGACAGAGACAGCAGCCTCTCTGCAGTCATGCTGGATGACAGAGCCAGGGCGCTTGGGCAGACTGGCCCAATGTCACATGCCCTGAGGGGGGTAGCTGCAGGTGCCATTGGACCCCTTGGGTCCCTGGGATTTCCGTACTCCTTGTCTCCTTTTCCTGCAGTGAGTTAATAGGGTCAATCAACTTGGGCTGTAGTCTTCATTATTCTTAAGCAGTGATGTAAGAGTTGATAAGACACATAAATCCATAGACGTCAATGTCTGGATTATCTATTAGAACCAGCCCCACACAACCATGGCTAAGGGTGAAGACTACAAATACTATGATTTTCTTTATTGTCATATTGGCTGAGATTTTTAGTTTGTCTGGATAATTAGAATGCATATACTTCTCTTTTCTCATCCTTTAGAGATAAATGATCTTTAGGGTCTGAGCATTATTTAATTTAAAGAATAATCAACAATGAACTAATAAAGTAGTTTAAAAGGGTATATTTACTTCCAAGACAGGAATTCTTTCAACTGTTTGCATTGAAGTTCTACTTTTCCATTTGGGCCACCCTAACATAGAACTGCATTTGTTGTTTCTTATCCACGTCCTTAAACCCCTTCCAGGCAGTAGCCAAGGGTACAACTTCTAGAATTATCTAGAATCCAAGCTATAAAACTGGGTTTGAATATGGACAATATTATATATAATAATACAGAAATAAAATATTTAATTAATATGTTTAATCAAAATAAATAATTTTATTAATAATCTAATGGTCATTCATTATTGATTAATTAATTGATTATTTTAATTAATATTTAACCAATTCAATTGTTCATGTTCTTATTTAGCCCATGCCCAAATATAAAAGTCTCTAATTTCCAAATAGTAATTATTTTCTGCACTTATAAGAAATTTAAATTTATGATTTCCATTAGGTTAAATAGGTTGTTTGACATCTGCAAACAAGTACAATACTTGAAAAATTTCAGCCTGAGATAGGACTAAATAATATTAGCTCAGAAGAAGAACATGTATTGAATAATTTATACCACATACTTGTCAATGGAAACATTAAGTTTCAAAAGGTTTTCCCTAGCGATACATTAGAATTCATTAGTATGTGAGTTTGACTTATATTTAATTGGGGTATAAAATATATTTCAAATTAAAATATCTGAAGGGCAATGGTTTTCCTCCTCATGTATGATGAGTAAGTCATGATACCAACGGAAGTACCTACCATTGCCAGACAGAGTAATGCCAGCCTTTTCATCATCATTGTGTGGGAAGTAAGTGCTGCAGTCTGCACCAATCCAATGTCTATTACACACACACCTCAGCTCATTACTGCAAACCTAAATCCAAAAATGAGTCTTGAGCAAACATATACTCTTTAGTACAGAGGCATGAAAAATAAACAGTAATTTATAAATACAACAGACAAAATTTGGTGATACTGAAAAAATTCTGGGTACTTTTCAATTCCTTTTATTCATTCCTTACTCAACTATCTGAAGAGATATTTTCTAAAAACCAATGGATGATTCACAGGGAACAGTGAATTTTTAACAGAAGAATTAATCATATGTGTAATAACATTGGTGACACTAGTCTCATTTTGGCTTTGGGTACATTCAATTTTATAAGGGAAAAGAAAAAACTAAGCAGATATATAATTATCTGTCAGTTGTTCAATACAAGGTTGCTGTCTCCCATAAAAAGAAAAATCATCCAAAATGATATTAATCTGTTTGAAACTTGAATGAGATCACGAGAAATCTAATACAGGAGAGAGAGGCCTGATGCTCTGTAGGGGTCTGAGAAGAAAGCTTTACAAACTAGTATCATGGCCCCTCAACCCAAGCTACAGAAAAGCACAGCTCCCTCAGAAGTATGGGAACATGAGCTCCCCCAAGTACAGCAGTTGTGGTGAAAATCACACAGTGGTTTATACCAAATTTTTAGACATTATAAGAAAAGGAGTATTTCTTTACATTTCCAACTAGGAAAGAGAATCTATATCTAGATTTTTAAATTCGAGACAAGTTTCAGCGCAGTGAGGAGCATGAAAGACAACTTCAAGATCAAAGAAGCTCTTACTGAGGCAGGTTTTCACAGTATGATTTCTGTCTTTTGTCTGATCAAATTGGCCAAAATTAGGCAAATAAGCAATTGAAAGTCATATTTGTTTCTGTGATATAAAAGAAGTAAATCCTGCCCACTGGCCAAGTACTGGACAAAAGCTTACCCCGTTTCCTGAACAAACAGTGCCTACTTCACTGCTTAAGCAAGTACTGAAGTTGAAAGAAGCCACAGGAAGACATCTATGTTCCAAGCACATCATTTTGGGACCACAGGGAGTACCATCTTCCACATAGCCAAGGTCAACATCTTCTTCAAGCTTAACATGCCCACCACTACAAATAAATTAAGAGTGAAGAAAAATTGCGTTTCCAATCATCCATTTTCATATGGAGAATAAATTCAAAAACTAACAAATGAGCAATAGCACACCTGCTCAGTTTTCTCTTTATCCAACAAAAATCAGTCATAGAAGTTACTTTTGTCAATTCTCTTGTTAGTTTATATACACCTTTACTTTTTAATTTTATTTAATTGAAGGCATTATCCATTGGCTTTTATCCATGGAATCTGATAAATTACCCTCTGTCTACCTCTCCTACCTCACACACTCCATTTTCCCTTCCCTCAATCTTCCCACCATACGTTTAGCTTAATTAATAATTAAAAGTTAATTCAGTTGAGCCAAAAAGTATATCATGATCAAATCCTTTCTTTTCCTGCAGAAATTTTTGTTTTTCCCCTCACATTAATAATCGTGGTAGTTACACAATCTGTTGTCAATTTGAGACTTAAGAGTGAAGGGGTGGAGTTTAGTCTGTCAATCAGGTTGCAGCTTGATGACCTCATTTGGAGGCGCTAAGGGGATAAATAGCTCGCTCTAGGCGGGACACAGCCTCACTCCCAGGGAGGCATTCCTGTTGAAAAGACACATGGAGCTACTCTAGAGCCCTGGAGCTGAAGGAGCCACATGGAGACCTCTGCCAGTGCTGATGCTTCCACTGCCCCTGGATCCACAAGACTTTCCACCCATTGGCCTGTGATCTTCCTGCATTCAGCATCATTGCATGTGTTGCGTGAGTCTGAAGGGGATTTTATAGATTGGTATCGGACATATGGGCTAATATCGGACTTTTGGTTGTGATCTGGACTGGGACGGGATGTTTTCTCAATATTCAATTGCTCTTGTACATAAAACTCTTTCTTATACACATATGAGAGTCTATGAATTTGTTTCCCCAGTAGACTCAGACTAGCACAATAATCTATTTTTTGTTGTTTTTTTATTATTTTTTTATAAAAATTTCCACAAAGTTCTTACTAATTCAAAATTAATAAAAAAATTTATACAAAATTTTTATATTACTAATTCAATCAATCCAAACTTTCTGCCAGCTGCCAAAAGCAACACTTCAGATTGTCTGAGCTCATCATTTTGGAGAAATCCCTTCTGGAATTTTCTGGTTTGCCTGTCCCAATGCGGAGCTGTAACTCTTAGGTTTCCACCAGTATCAACAATTTGAGGACTGTCCAATCTCTTTTCTCTGGTGGGTATTTGCATCCTATACTGCCCACTTTTCTCAGTCCAGTTTGTTCTAACATTTTCATTAAAACATTTACCGGAAGCACACCTTCCAGTAAATCTCAGCAAAGAGTATATGGGGGCAACTTTAGGGAAAACTTACATACTGAAAACTCTTTATTTTCTACCCTCACAGTTAGACAATGATTTGTCTATGTACCTAATTCCACTTTGGAAATAATTTCCTCCACTATCTTCTGACTCCCAGGGATCTTTTTTTTGGAACACAACCCCCAAATCACTCCAAAAGCCAGTCAGTGCCAGTGAGTCAACTGTGACTCACAGAAACTCCATAGGGCGGAGTAGAATGCCTCTGTGAGTTTCCAAGGCTGTAAATCTTTTCGGAGTAGAAAGTCTCATCTTTCTCCTACAGAGAGCCTGGTGTTCCAAACTGCTGACCACATAACCCATATGCCACCAGGGCTCCTTACTGCATCCTGTGCCATCTTAATTCCGGTTCCTTTGGTCCATCCTGCCCTTGCTTTGTCCCAAGGATTGGAAATTTCATAAGGACATGTCTTAGATGTGTCACTAATTTTACCCCAGGTGCCTGCACCTGGGCTAAGACCATTAATTTGGCAGCTCAAGTTCCTCATTTCTAGACAGTATTCTTGAGTTACTCATTCACCATCTCCTCCATTGTGTCTTCTCTCCTCTTTATCATTTCTATTCTAATTTACTAAGCATTTCTCCACGTCCCATCTTGTGGTCTTCTTGCTCTACTTTCTAGGAGATGATGGCAACTCCTGAGTTTTCTTATGTCATATTTTAAATTTCCAGCAGCACATTTTTCTTCTTGAATATGCTCCACATTTAAAAAATAAGCACCCTATTTTTGTTTCCTAATAGAAGAAGTCTCTTGCAAATACTAATTATTTTTGTTGTTTTTCTTCTGATTGTTTTTGTCTTTTTTTTTTTTTCATGTTCAAAATGTCCCTCACACGTCTGCTACTCTTTGCTATCCTGCTCCTATTTGGCACAGGAATCCAAAAAATGATTGGGAATTTTAGGATTTTTTTAAAGGATTTTCTGACTGAACATCAGTGAGGCCAAACCACTTCCCCACCACCCGTGATACCAACACAGCCTGCTGTTCTCTAGCGTGAAGACCAGGTGCTTTCTCCTCTGCAGGTGAGAAAGCTCAAGGCTTCCACTGGGTAGGCAAACCCCACGTTAACTGGATCAAGAAAGTAACCAGTGGATCCATTTGCTTTTTAAACAAATCTTTACCCATCTTTTTAAATTTCAGCACCTATACCCCTAATTTCTTTACTCCCTGTTGATAACCAGATGTTGTTAACTTTTGAGATCTGGGGGACTGACATACTGTGTTGGGCTAGGTCTCAATGAGTGGCTTAGGATTCAGCTTTCTAATATTTGATGTCATCTATCACTCAGCCACTTGCTTTCCAATGCCACGGCTGCCAGCTCCTTTCCCTGTGGATGATGCATTCTTTTTTATTTTATTTTATTGGGAGTTCTTACAGTTCATACCGGATGTATGCATTCTAAATCAAATCTATTTTGTGTCCTTTCTGTGGGGCCACAGAAGGGCGCAGGAGTAGATGCATTTCTTTAATCCACTGCGCTTACCCAAAAGTCCCCATTAATTTTTCTTAACTAGATTTACTAATCCAACTAGATTTACTAATAAATAAAACAGACCTCTGTTGTTGGTAGGTGCTGTCAAATTGGTTCCAACTCAGAGAGACTATACGTACAACAGAACAAACGACGGATTTCACCATTAACTATTTCTTCTTTCCACCGCTTTTCTCTCAGTGTTCACTCAATTACTCCTATTAATTAGATTCTATCTGAGCAGAAGTAAGTTTAAACTGTGCTCCTAGGAAGTGAGGTGACATGTGCTCATAAAATGGTTAGGTCATTACCTGCAGTTTAATGTTCTCCCCTGCTGCACAAGTAAAGTAGATGTGATTTCACCATCAAGTTCTCCAAGTCTTGGTATATTACCAATATTAGTGCATAAAAGGTAACCACAGAGGACATCCCTGTTTCAAAAGAGTACCAATTATAGATCCATAAAGATATAGCAAATCACTTACAGTTTGAACAATAATCTCTCTCAATTTAGCATTACCAACCCTTCCTCAACATGTTTCACTATTCCCTCTTCTACCACAGATAATTCACATTTAACTTGTAAAATATCTTGAATGATGTTGGGTACCATCTTACTAGTATGTCTAATACACTTTAATTATCAATAGACATAATAATAAACCTCTTTAATAAGTTTCTTGTGAAGACTGAATAATAGATAAGTAAGATGCTATACAGATCTATCAGACTTTATTAGAGGGAGAATTAGAAACATTTTAAATCCACAAGAATTTTCCTATACGAGAGCCATCTGTAATATATCAATTTTGGAACAAAAAAATCAATTCACCCTTAAAGATATATCATTTACTGCATTTCATTTTACTGCATCTGTCTTAAACAAAAATTGTTTTCTCAACACAGAGGGATATTTCTTTCATTTTTTTAAAGTAACATTTATGTTCCCGGAACCTACTTAGTATTTTATGATATATACAGAAAATCAGACATGTTCTTTACCTTCTGGGAAATTATACTCTACTTCAGAATGTAAATCAATATATTTAAACTTATAAAACAGAGTTGGAACCAGGGCCACAGAATAGTACAAAGGATCGTCAGGGTTTAGAAGAGCAGAGGAAGAGAATTCATTTCTACAGTCAGCCGGGAATGGAGGGACAGAGAAAGTGTAGCCGAGGCTAGATGTCAAAGGAGGGATAGGTGGTTGACTGGAGATAGTAGGAGTCTAAAAGCACTTGCACACTTTTTATCCCTTTTGGGCCCATCGCTGAAAGAGCAGCAATCAATCCATTTGTGACTTCTGACTGGAGCAAAATGCACCTTCCCACGTCCTCAGGAAGATTATGTCTTCCCCGCTTTCACAGGAACTTAGACAGAAATACAATGTAGTACATAATACCTGCAAACTTGAAAAACAAGCCCAAAAATCTAATAAAGCTGCTTACAGAGGAAGTAACTTACAAGTTAATACAGGTCCTTAGTGTGAGGAAGAGCAATCCAAATGGGAATGAAAGGATGCTGGTCACTGAAAAATGATGCTGACCTGCCTGACTGAGCGATGAATTCTAACGAGGTCACCTCACCGTTTGTTGCACTGTATCCAAGTGTTTTTGTCCTTGCCACAGTTCCCCTTCTCGGTGCCCTCAATATTCAGCTTCTCATAGCAGTATTTGTCGGACACTGTCACCTCTGGAGCACAAAAAATGCTCTGTCAGTAAGGGAGCTTTTACAGTAAAGGAAACATGTACCTTAAAAGACTCTTCTTCACTCTCAGTGTTATCAATTCAAAATACTGTACCTATAGTTCACCAGAGCTTTCCCACACCCCAGACATCTAATATACAGGTTCATTTTTTTCAAGACTGCTCATTGGAAATTTGGGAAACAAGTATATTTAGACCACTGGTAGGATTCAGACAGGTAGATTGCAAGTACTGCCCTCCTTAGCTTTAGGCCAACAATTAAAGTACAATGCCACCAAGTGGTTCCTGGAATAAAATGCTCCCAGCTAGAGGGTAAGCATTGGACTGCTAACTGCAAGGCTAGCAGTTCAAATCCACCAGCAGCTCTGAGGGAGAAAGATGAGGCTACCTGTTTCCATAAAGATTTACCGCCTCCGAAACTCTAGGTAGGGTCACTCTGAGTCAGAATCGACTAGACGGCAGCGGGTTTGGTGGTTTTCTTTGAGGTACTCTCACCTCGGGGCCGTACATGAAGTGTGCTTTACTCGTCCAGTGACTTTTATTAGTCATCAACAAAATGGATTTAAAATAGTTTTGCATTATCATTAAGAATTGGGGGAAAGGGTGGCATATTTTCTACTTTTTCATTATTTCTTAATGAACTACTTAATTTCATTTTGTGATTAGAAAAGCTGAAATTGGTGCTAAAATCATACTGAAAATGCATTTTAATGGTATGGTAGCATCTTTGTTAGATTATTTTCTGTCCATTTTTTTCCCCTGAAGTCGCGGTGGGTCAATGGATTTGTCTAAGAAATCAACTATTGCTTTACCTTAATCATGAGAAAACTGTTGGTGCACATTATAAATGTGTGTGTGTATGTATGTGTTAGCAGTTCCTTCTCCTACTTCTTGCTGTCAGCTACTTTGTTTCCTCAAGTGGAAGAGGTTTTTTTTTAAATGCATGTTTTTGTTCAGAATACAAACCCACAGGGCTAAAATTCCCCCAATCACATTTTCTCTAATTGCTCAAATGAAAGCATTCACTTTCTGTCCCGTGGTGACTAAAGCCACTGTTTATGATAACTGAGGATTTTCCTAGAACTCATTACATTTACAACCTGACTTCTAGTGCACACTGTCTTCTCAGAGCGTATGTATGACAGAAATTGTTTTTGGAAGGGCCAATATTAACTTCTGGGAAAAACATATTGTACAATATTTAAATATAAATCTAGAGTCACAATATCACTTTAATATAAATGTCATATGTTTCCTGTGAAAACACAACATATTTTGAAGAGAGTTAGCATTAAAAATTTTTTTGGCAGAGCTACATCAACAGAAGGTTACCTCTGAGTAGGAATGTTGGCCACGCACAGAAAGATATTGGAGGAGGAAAAAGCAACACCAGCTAAAGCGGCGATAGTTCTAAGTCAAGCCTGTGCAAGCCAGGGCACATGTCCATCCCATATGGCGATACAGGTTTTGCTTAAGGGCTCTCAGCTGAGGGTAGTCCAAGTGGAACTGAAATCCAGGCTTGTTCTTCTCTTGAGCTGCGTGCCCTGGCGTGGGCTTCATCTGCCTGGCAGCAAAGGTACCTTCTGTTTCATCCAAAGGCACTGCCAACTAGCCAAGAGGTGTGGGGCTTTGTTCTCCCAAAGGAGTCTTTCTCTGATGTTCAAAAAAGCATCTAAGCTAAGATATGCAGCGACTTTAAGGGTCTTCGAGACTCAAAGTGGTCAAAAACCTACTTCAAGTACACATGTCCTTGTAAAGATCATACTTTAAAGATCAGCAGGACACACTATTTACTTACTTTGTCCCCATATGTATTTGCATTGTCTGTCCCTGGTTTTACATCTTCCTCCAAAGCAAATTCCCTACAATGAAAAGGCATACCCATTAGCAATGCAATACCTGCTTACAGCAGATAAAGGAAGACACATGACTGGGAAAGATAGTAGATGCATATTATAAAGTCTTTGATCTCCAGTATTGGTTATGAGACATTTAAATTGATTTTCTTCTTTTGAGAAGATCTCATTATTTCTCTCATGGTGGTGTACATAAAAAATGTAAGTAAAAAAACTGAAGTGGCCTACCTGAACCCCATCACATGAGTATCCGTCCATTTTATGAATGTTAGGGGCACACTAGAAAAAGAGAGCAGACTATGAGCCAAATGCAGAGCAAAGGTACCAGATTAAGCGAATCTATTTAATATTTTCGTTTCAGAAATAAAGTCAGAAAATAGATTTGCCTTTAAACTATCTAAGAAGGAAAATGAAGAAGGTCAAGAGCGTTCCGGTACCCAAACATTTCAATAACCACCGCTCTGTGAAGTAACGCCAGTCCTACGACACAGTTCAAAGTTCAGTTATCACGGTATAGTAACAAAACCTGTCCCTAGTACAAACGTTGTTGCTACTCCACAATCCCCCAAATCACTCTGCGTGAGAACTCAGGATGAAATGCAGCTGGTGTGCTTTCTCCTGATAATATCAATTTACCAGAGGCAAAAACAATTGACTAAGAGTGACTGCAGTGGGCGCAGAGAAAGTTGGCATGAAGAGAACCCTGTTTCACAGACGCACCACTACTCGCAGCAAGAGAAACAAGGGCACACGCGCGAAATAACAAGAACGCCAGCGCAGAAAGAGCAAGCAGCACAGATCCCTGTCCCGAGCGGCAGAATGGCCAGCGCACTTCGTGACCCTCGAAGCAAGCCTCTCATAGGAGCATGAGAGAAAAAGGCCAGGCCTGACAAATCTCCTTTCCCCGCTCACGGCAACTGCAGAAGTTTGCAAGGCAACTTTGTAAATAAACAGTATTTTCAAATTGTAATATGCATTCTTCTTCTTTTTTAAGGAAAATGTCCCTTCAAAAGAGAAAGCCCTAAGTTCTGACCCAAATTGCATGATGTTATAATGATGACAACACTATTTCTCTACTCTCCAGATTCTAGGAAACAATCATTATATGTGTTTCGATCATCATCATAATACATTATAGACTCATTTGGGAAATGTAAGAAATGTAAGAAAGCATGACAAAAATGATTCATACTCTTACCACGCAAATGCAATTATTTTTCACACTTTGGTATATTCTCTCCCTACCTTTTCCTATGAAATCTGAAAATGTGAAATATATCCAATTGCATTATATATTATATATTGTAATTTTCCCTTTTCTTTCATCATATAAGTTTCCTCATTTCGGAGTGAACATTTTGTATGTATCATTTCTAGTGAATTAACAAACTACATAACCAATGTATTAAACATTCACTTAACATGATCCCCACCCAGTGTATGCTGTCACAGCTAAAGCAGCTAAAGCACCTTCAGGCAGACACTACTTTTGGATTTAGAATCCTTTAAAATTCTGGCTGCTTATTTTATAACTGCTTTGTAAAGAAATTCTACTAGTAGACACTCCCTCCAGAAGCCTAAGAGCTAAACATTTCATTATATCATCATCACCAGTAGGAATTCACATAGAAAAACATTTCTAATTAAATAGAAAGAGAGGAAAATAATTTCATGCAAAAGATCTTTAGTCTCCTAATTAAAATCAGCCATTTTCACAATGGTTAATGCAAAACTACCAACCCTGTAACTCTCTTCCCTGGAGAAAAAAAAATATGCAAGCAGCCCTGGTTTTGCACACAGTTCTGGTACCCAAGCATTTTAATGACCACAGCTTTGTTAAATAACACCAGTCCTACAACAACACAGTTCAAAGTTGTTATCACAGTACAGTAATAGTGTCCCCAGTACAAACTTCGTTGCTACCTCTGCAATCCCCCAAATCACCATGCAAGCCAGCAGATGCATATCGCAATGAGTGACCTATCCCATCACCACTTCCAAAGTCTGACAATGATTGTTCACCACTCATCTATTCCTCAGTTCAGACAGTAGAGTGTGGCTGTGCAGCCTCTTTGTTGTCTGGTGATAAATTATATTACCCATGTGATAGATTATAAAAATAGAAAATCAAAAGTGAGAATTGGCCAATAAAGATAAAAGGAAAAATGACCAACTGGAAGGGAACCCAAATGAACAATAAATGGATTACAGAAAGAATAGCTAACTGTGGGGAGTTGATACGGCTGCAGTTCCAAGGGCTCTAGATATGTGGCCAGAAGCACTTAGTGCAGGAGAACTTATCGACATGAAGTTAGTGGTTTTGATGAAAAGGATGAAGCTCTCCCAGGGGAAGTGACCCTGCGAAAAAACAAACCCTTCCCCATAAAGGAGCCCTCAGAGCTATTTCTCAACATTGAAAAATAAGAGTACACTGCTAGAAGGTGATCCAAACTTCATCAAAGCATAGAAAAAATATTTTCTCCATATCCTAGGTTAAACAGCAAGAAGATGAGCAAGTTTCAAACTACCCCTGAAAGAGTTTTTACAAAGAAATTAAAATACTTTACTTCTCAAAATTTCTAATTTTTTAAAATTTATAGTAAAAGGATAAGTAAATATATATATATATATATATACACATATATGTGTGTATATATATACATACGTGTGTATATACTATATATAATATATATTACTGTTATATATTACATATATGTGTGTATATACTTTATAATATATATATTACTATATATATAATATATATATATTACTGTTAGGCCTACAGTTCATACATGCACAGGTTTATTCCACACCAAGCAAGTTTAAACAAGTCTCTGTAATCAGTGGATAGCTTTAGGCAAGTTATCTTAATGTACTTAATCTGATGCCTTCAAAAAAAGTCCAATCAAAACAGTGGCTTCCAAAGACTTCTGCTAAACCAGTTAAATTCAAGTCAGCTCTAAAAATTATGGAGATGGTTTGGGGGAGTCTCAAGGGTACTGTTGATGGATTTTCTTGAAGGAAAACTGGGCAATCAAGAGGTTTGTTTTGATGTTTAAAGAAAAAAAATTTTTTTATGCATTGCTAAGAAAAAGGCCAGGGAAGTTGCACCAAGGAATTTTCTTGCATGATGATCACACAACCACCCAACTCCTTCTTCAAGAACAGCAAAGTGCCCTAACCAGAGTTTCATCGGGGACTCTATACCCCATCCGCCTCTCACTCCTGCCCTGCCACCTTCACACGTCTTTGGACAGTGATGTTTTAACGCGGTATAATTCTTGAGTAAAGTTTAGAGCAGGGGTCCTCAAACTACGGCCCCGCGGGCCACATGCAACCCGCCGAGGACATTTATCAGACCCGCTGGGTGTTTTTCCCTCATTTGTTTTTTACTTCAAAATAAGATATGTGCAGTGTGCATAGGAATTTGTTCATAGTTGCGTGTGTGTTTTTAACTATAGTCCGGCCCTCCAACGGTCTGAGAGACAGTGAACTGGCCCCCTGTTTAAAAAGTTTGAGGACCCCTGGTTCAGAGAGGTGGGACTACCTCCTTCAGAAGTATGTAGACCTACATGGAGCCTACGTCAAGAAAAGCTTCGTAATTCGGTATTTTTCTTTAATATAGTAGGTATGATTTTCTTAGCAACTTATTATTAATTTTTTACTTATTCTGGTATACTACACAATTGATAGGGCCATTACTTTTAAATCTCCCTCAATATGTAACCAACTATAAGAGAGTTTTAGCTACTTTGACAAAAGAGATTTGAAAGTCATAGGTGTTGTGATTTCCCCACTGATGAGACTCACTGTCATGGTTCATGGTTTCTCCTGCCACGGTGAGTGCTACTGTCCCACACAACAGGGCAAAGCAAGGGCTGACCACGAGGACATCTGTGCACCTTTCTTAACTTTGTCCAACTTTTCCCGCTTGCCTCTACATGACTAATGGCATCAGATTCAAGCGAAGCTTTTAATCTCTTAGCCGAGCTATGTTAGATAAACAAGCATCAAGTCAAGAAACAGGTCTTTTTCTGAAAATCCAATACTTTGTGGGTCTGTCTCGCTACTCTGGGGCTAACGCTCTTGTGTCATCCAGCTGAAGAAAAGTCACTATTTTCATTTCTTTCCTCAATCAACAGATGGAAATAAAACATCTTCTACATCCCAGTTAAACGAAAATAGCATAGGCAAGGCACGCAGCTAAGTTCAGTAATAAGACAAAAGTATGCGGAACATGTCCTTGAGCTTTCTTTACTGAAATTTAAAATCAGTGAAGTAAAAATCAATGAGCAAAGTTCCATGGAACATCTGTCTGTCTACATATCTCTTGAGTTATAAAGGGGCCATAAAGATGCCTCAGGAGCCCTGGTGGCACAGTGATTAAGCACTGGGCTGCTAACCAAGAGGTCGGAAGTCCAAACTCACTAGTCACTGCAGGAAAAAGAGTGGCCATCGGCTAACCTAGATCTACAGACTTGGAAACCCCACTGGACAATTCTACTCTACCTAGAGTGCCATTAGAAGTTTGTTTTTTGGTTTGGTCAAGGCATCTCTACTTTTATCCACAGGGCTTTGAGTAGCCCAGACGGCTCAGTGATGAGGGACTTGGCTGTTAACTGGCAGCTCAAACACACCAGATGCTCCACAGGAGAAAGACATAGAGCAGTCAGCTGTCAAAAAGAGCAATACTGGAAACCCTTCAGGTAGTTCAACTTCACCCTGTATGACTATGTCATTATGAGTTGGAATCAACTCAACAGCAAGGGTTTTTTTTTAAGAGCAATTATCGTATACATTACCTGGCTTGAATTTCCTGAGCATGTTTCATGAATATCACAATCATTTACCGCTTCTCGGCACACAGTCCCCATCGGCTGAAACTAAAATGAACAAAATTAATGTGCAAAACTGTGGTAAAAGGGAAAAAAAAGAACTTCTCACAGTTCCATCTAAAGAAGCAAAATGAAAATTGTTTGCATAGGAGTATCATGAGCTATCTTTCACATCTTGCAACAGCAGATGTGAAAACCACAGTTCCTGAATGAAAATGCTATTTTAATGGTTTTAAGAGAGTGTCTTGTGTGGAATAATTTACATATTCATCACACATCAGGCTGATGATATCTTGCTAAAACACGATAGTGCCTGATCATATGTTTATCCAAGGGACAAGGTAATCCAACTTCTAGCAATTCTCCATTCCAAAAAGCTCTTGGATTTACATTATACTTTTCATCTTACAACTACCTTTTCCACATTTCTCTTCTTTGTTGTATCTGCCAAGAAATTCAAAGCTCCTTTTCAGGCTGAAGTACAAGTTACATTTTCTGGCCAGGCTCTCTCTCATGCCTCCCTCCTCCTGGCTCAGTTTCATGTCGATCTAAATTTTGCTTTTTACTGTTTTTATGTTTCTGTTACTTGTGGCTGTATGTGCGAGATGTTTCTGTTTGGCTTTGGGTTTTGGTCTGTTTTCAAATATCTGTAGAACTTTTGGTGTCAGAGTTGTACAAACAAATTTTAAACCTCATTGGATTTATAAATCGCAAGAACACTCACTATAACAAAAGAAAACAGAAATACAGAATACATTATCATCCGTCCCCTCTCCACTTTAATCCTATCCCCCTGGAAACCAACGTTAACAATTTAGGCTGGGTCTTTCTAATTTTTTGTCTCTAATTACATAAACAGAACACATTGTTTGCTTCCTACACACACACACACACACACACACACACACACACACACACTTTCCTGTGTGAACTTAATCTTCCCCTTGCTCACAAGTCTCCTGCAGGTCTGACAACTCCTGCACAGTAAACTACCAGCTCCAATCAGGATTTCAACAGAGATGTAAACAGAATTCGTTTACTCATTCACTGACTCACTCATTCATTTATCAAGGATTTACCGGGCATTTAGAATATTCCAGGGATTATCCCAGCCACTATGGACTCAATGGGAAACAGAGCACGAGCTCTGTGCACAACTTAAACGTTTTCATGGAGGGTAAGTGGCCAGAAGAATAAAGAAGTAAGCAAGATAAAACATTGTTCTACTGTTCCTTTTGGGAATTCAAGCAAGATACACTTTTAGAGCATCTGAGGTAAGAATATGAACAGTTTTAAGGCAGATTTCATATCAAGTATAAGGTCACGAACTGCCAGGACACTTCCAGAAGTAGAGAGTAAGGAAGAACGTATCCTCAGTGCTGGGACAGAGCAGTAACTGCATGCACTAACATTATGTCCGTCAGGACTTACTTCCCAGTGAGGAGAGAACGATAATAGGCAAGTAAGCAATATTTTAAGAGGAGGTCTGTAAAAGTATGGTTTTGAGCAACAAGCCCACATGGAAGAAGCACATCAGCCTGCGCGATCATGAGGTGTTGATGGGATCAGATAACAGGCATCAGAAGACCCCCAAACAAACAAACAAACAAACAAACAAACAAACAAACCATACTGTTGAGAATGAGGGTAGGTCAGAGCAGAGCAGAGACCCCAAACCCATCTGTAGACAATGGGACATCACCTCACAGAGGGGTCACAAGGAAGGGATGAGTCACCCAGGGAGCAATACAGCACCTTTGGAACCCACAATATTCCTCTGGTTTCTTGAGACTTCCTCATCCCCCGCTATCATGACCCCAGTCCTGCCTTCCACTGTGAGCTGGACTGGAGCATGTACACAGGTACAGATAAGAGATAAGCGCTCACAACACACAGAATCCAGGAACAGGAATGGGAGTATCAATACCAGGAGGGTAGGGGGAGTGTGTTGAGAGGAGGGGTGGAAGGGGGAACCGATCGCAAAGATCGACACATAACCACCCCCGCCTCCCCCAGGAAAATGAACAACAAAAACCGTAGGGGAAGGCAGACAGCAGTTGGTGTAAGATATGAAAATAATAACAATTTATAATATAACAAGGGGTCATGAGGATGGCAGGGGGAGGAAGGAGGGAAAACATGAGGAGCTGATACCAAGGGCTTAATAGAAAGTAAATGTTTAGAAAATAATGATGGCAACATGTGTATGAATATGCTTGATACAATTGATGTATGGATTATTGTAAGAGTTGTATGAGTCCCCAATAAAATGACCTTTTAATAAAAAAGAAAAGTATGGCTTTGGTGTCAAATCCATCTGGTCACCTGGTTTTTTGTTTGTTTGCTTTTTAAGAAAGTTTTATTGTAACACAAAGTTGCTAATGTGTTACAATTGGTTGCTTTCCTGTCGCAGAGGCAGCATGGAGTAACTGCAACAGACTTTTGGACCCACAAAGCCTAAATTATTAACTATCTGATCTTTGAAATGTTTGTCAAACCCTGTTTTATAGATATGTTATTGTAAACACATGTAGAAAAAGATGGATAAAGGGATGTACATGCTCTTCTATTCTCCGACCTCCATTCACTATGTTGTCTCTGGATCCCTTAGGAGTTCAGAGAATGGGTGGCCATAGAGAAACAGCTGAAAAGATCATACTTGACTGCTGCAGCTGTAGCAATTTTGTGTGTTAGTTAATCATGCCATTCAATTTCGGGTATTTTCATTTGTTAAAGTTTGTACTTGTTCCTTGAAATGACTATGTCACAAGGAGCTTAATTCTACAAAGAAAAGCAACTGGTGAAATGAAACACGCTCTACAGATGGGCGACGAAGAAGTGGAGGGTTTCAATAAATGACTTGGCGCCCCTTGCTATGACAGTCAGAACGGAGGCGGACAGAATACACTGAGGGAGCCAGAATGGAAGAATGTCTGTTTTGCACTTGGTTTAATCTTCCTTTTTTTTTTTTAAGAGAGCACTGTCAGAGATTTCTGCCGGTGCCTTACTTGACTTAGTAAGTTGCCATAAGGCATAGTGGAAAGAGGATACAAAGCAAACTGCTGCCAGCAGATCTGGGATGTACCGCTCCTTATCAAGTGAGCCTGCACAAGTCATCACCTTCCTTGAGATTGGCTTGCTCCAAAAGAAAAAGTAGGACAAAAGTGATTGTGGTCTCAACCAGCATTGACTGTGTTCTACACAAAGACATATGGCAATGTCTGGCGTAGTGGTTATGCATGGGACTATGATCCCAAAGGCCAGCGGTTGGAAACCACCAGCTGCTCCTCTGGAGAAAGACAGAGCTTGCTACGCCTGTACAGAGTTACTGTTGATAAAAGGGAGTACGTGTTGCAGGTAAGCAGGGCCCAGGATGTAGAACCCTGAAACAAAAGGAGGCTGGGCTGATGTGTTACAACACGTCCTTCTCTCTATTTAACAGAGAGATCTTCATCTGCTCTATGCCAGGATCCCTGTCAGACTTGTGACTATCTGCATGTTCTTTTTCATCCTGTTTTTGCTTTTTTGGTACGAATCTATATAATATAGGCAGGATAGGCAAACTTACAGAGACAGCGACAGAGCCCACGGTTCCTGCGGGGCATGGGAGGGGAGGAGGCAGAAGGAGGTGAGCGGTGAGCCAATAATGACAGGTACAGGGGGATAGTAAGTGTTCTAAAATTGATGTGAGGAGGGTGGAGCTTTTATGGTAGTGTTTGAGCAATCCAATTGTATCTGAGAGGAATTACTGAGAGGTGATGATGGGTAAACATGATAGTGGGGCCAGAGAGGGGGAAAGAAGAAAAGAGAAAAAGGAAGAAGAAAGTAAAAAATATATAAATATGTGCATGTGTATATATGTAAATACCGGTATATTTGTTTTTAGAGGTATATATATGCAGATGCAACAAGAAGCAGATGGACTTTGGGCATCTACTTAAATCTTACCTCAGTAAAAGAACGGTTTGCTCAAATGATGTGGCATTGTCTGATACTCACCTTCCTGACACGATTGCTAAAGACACAATGGGTACATAAACAAATGTGGTGTAAGAAAGCTGAAGGCGCCAGGCTATTAAAAGATAAAGTGTCTGGGGTCTTAAAGGCTTGTAGTTAAACAAGTGGTCATCTATCAGGGAAGCAACAAAGTCCACATAGAAGAAGTCCACCAGCCTGTGTGATCATGAGGTATTGACAGGAATAGGTATCAGAAGTTCAAAACCAAGCAGCCAAATCAATGTGAAGGGGCGTGGATGTAGTGGAGACCCAAAACCCACCATAAGATATTTGGACTGTCCTTCTCAGAGGGGCTACACTGATACTGTATAACCCCACTTGAAGGGAGTAAACAATAAAATTGTATGTGAATGAATATACTGTATGGTGTAAGATATGGCAAAAAATAAATAAATAAGGGTTCGTGGGGGTAGGGTGAGGGAGGGAGGGGATAAAAAGAAGCTGATACCAAGGAGTTCAAGAAGAAAGATGTTTTGAAACTGATTGTGGCAGCAATTGTACAATACTGCTTGATGTGATTGAACCATGAAATGTTATATCTATAAGAGCTCCCAATAAAATAATTTTAAAGAAAAGGGAGCTACCGTCTCAGAAACTCACAAAGGCAATTCTACCCTGTCCTATAGGATCACCGTGAGTCAGTATTGACTCTGTGGCAGTGAGTTGGCTTTTAAAAATTTGTTTGTTTAGAGACATGCTTGTTTGTCTCAACTGCGAGGAATGAGGAAAGATAATGGCACCTATTGGGTACAAGCTAGAGATGCTGCAGGAAAGAATGTACAATATACACACTCACAGAATTATCAGGCCAAAATGTTAGTATTTCCAGGGTTGAGAAAGCCTGGCCAAAGATGATAGAAAAGTTCTTAGCACAGCTGATGGTGCCCAACTATCAAAAGATACAGTGTCTGGGGTCTTAAAGGCTTGAAGTTAAATAAGCAGCCATTAGCAGGGAAGCAACAAGCCCACATTGAAGAAGCACATCAGCCTGTGTGATCCTGAGGTGTCCCCAGGATCAGGTAACAGGCATCAGAAGATCCAAACAAACAAACATATTGTTGAGAACAAGAAGGGTCGGAGCAGAGACCCAAACCCATCTGTAGACCACGGGGTTCCCTTCACAGAAAGGTAGCAAGGAAGGAATGAGTCAACCAAGGTGAATATAGTACCCATGAAACCCACAATATTCCTCTGGTTCCTTAAGGCTTCTTTACCCCCAACTCTTATGACCCCAATCCTGCCTTAGGCTGGAACATGTACCCAGGTACAGATAGATAAGAGCTCAGGACACGTGGAATCCAGGTCAGATAAACCCCTCAGGTACAGAAACGGAAGTAGCGACACCAGGAGGGTCGGGGGAAGGTGGGGAGGAGGAGGGAAGAAACGGTGGGGAAAAGGAGACAGCAGTCGGTGTAATACATGCAAATAATAATAATTTATACTTTATCAAGGGGTCACAAGGGTGGGAATGGGAGGGAAGGAAAAAAGAGGCACTGATACTAAGAGCTCAATAAAGTAAATGTTTAGAAAATAATGATGGTAACAAATGTAAAAATATGCTTGATACAATTGATGTATGGATTGTTATAAGAGCTGTAAGAACCCTCAATAAAATGATCTTAAAAAAAAAAGTTCTTAGCACAATCCCTGGCACATAGATGTTTACATTTATGTTGTTTCCTTTCCCACCCTCTCTCGGGCGACAGCAAGTACTCATTAAGAAAGAGCTGTGCAGCTTTCATTCCTTCAACAAATATTTACAGAGTGCTTGTGCTTCCAGAAAATATACAGACTACAGGATGAGGCAGATTCTAAGCCTGAAAATACTGTAGAATATTGTACCAGATTTTATCTGAAAAAGAGATCAAAGCAACACATTTCTGTAGGAATGGTAAGCCCCCAATACTTGTCTTGATGATGTGAGAATGTAGCTTGGGAGGATGAGGATCGATCATGTTTGTAAAAAATGCATTTTAAGCAATCCAAATTGGTGGGGAGGTGGGTGTGGGAGGCCTGGTAGGGCATGATCAAGGGGAATATAACAAAGAGGAAGTGCTGAAATCCTGGTGGGGACTGAGCATGATAGTGGGACAGG